AGGTTGGGAGAACAATAAGGGACCATGGTTCCTTCTTACTGAGAATTTCTGAGGATAAATAAAGAGGTTAATGACAACGATCGCTATTCTTTTAGAGAGCTTACATTGTTAGGTTACAGTGATGCTTAGTATCACATGTAGTATCTCATTTAACTCCTCCTGCAACTTCCATGGATGATTTAATTAATACATTTTCCTGAGCAGGAAATAAAGGCTCAGAAACGTTAGGTCATTTGCACTAGGTCACACAACTAGAAAGTGACAGAACTGTAGTTCAAGTCCCTGTTTCTTCCCCTGCAACTTACATTATGGCTCTGGAGAATGCAGAGAATTGTTTCTCTCCCTCTTCTGGGATTAGGAGAAAATCTCTCTTGAACCCTACCCTTAAAAATAGTCATATGCGGCTCTGAATTTGGACTAAGATTGGTCCTGGGCAGTTTTGTTGGGATGACCCTCCCAGTAGCAAATGACCTTGCAATGAGGTACCTCCTACTTGCCTACATCAACCTGCTATTATTATTATACCTCTTCAAACTATGCATCCTCTTCTCAATCCAGCATTTTGTTACACTGTGGTTCCTATTTGTGCAAATGAATGCATTCATTCATTCATTCGTTCATTTTACAGTTATTTATTTTTTATCACCTATCATATTTACCACCTGCCATGTATCACACCTTGTTGTAGGGGATGAATAAAGGAAGAAATTTTGCCAAATCAAAGGGCAGCTCTGATCCCATTATAGTGTACAACTTCTCTGAAAATAGGATTATTGATAATAGATTGATATCCAGCAATAGCAGTTCAACAATGTTAATTCCTTAGCATTACTGATGTGACATTATAACTGAAGACATTATTTTGGGGAGAATAAAATATTACCATCAGCTGTTAATTTTGTTCAAAAGATAATCTTTCTTACTTGGGAAAAGATCTGAAAAGTGGGTAGTCAGCTATGGAGTCCTTTTAAAATCAATCAGCAAATTTTTGAATGTCTAATATATGCAAAACACTGTGCTAGGTGCTCCACAAGGTGCAGGCTTGACTCTTTTCTCCTTTTCTTCTATTTACTCTCCTCCTCAATGACCTTGCCTCTCATAGCATATATTCAGATAAATCCCAAATCTGCCAAATCCAATACTTATCTTCTCCTAAACTCCAGGACTGCATTTCCAAATGCTACCAGATATCATAATAATACCCAAAAGTCAACATGTCAAGAAAGCAATATATTTTCCTATCATAGAGGTATTATTTTATGAGAGGATTTGGAGAGGAAAAGGCTAGTGGGATCAGGATGAACATTTTAAATAGTTTATTTTAGTAATCCGACCTTGAAGTACATAAAGTTTGAGCTTGAATGGTGAGCATAGAAATTAAGGGACAATTCTAAGAAATTCTTCAGATTAACATATTGGCCACAATTGATATTAAAGAACAGTGTGTTTGCCATGATTTGAGTATTACTCCAAGATTTGGAATCTTATTAATGAGAAGATAATAGTGTCTTTGTTAGTAGTAAGATGTACTATTTGGCATCTGAGAAGATAGTCAACTAAATTCACTTAAATGCTAATAAAATTATTTTGATAACAGCCAAGCAATTTTTTTTATTAGTGGAGATGGTACCTTTTACTCCACCTTCCCACAACCCAAGATAGAGACTGAAAAAGAAGGACAAAATGTTTATGAATCATTTATTTGGCTCCTGTCTAATTATTAAAACAAGATTGCTTTACAGGAATTTCCCCTAATTTACAGATGGGGAAACTGAAGACCAGCAAATTAGGGAGACTTTTCACAAAATCAGACCACGTGAAAGCTTCTGGAATAAGTTATGTTTGATTGAAGTTGCTACTAAACTGTATCCCACTTGCCCCTGTTGCCTTAGTTCCTGATTAGCTTACTGGAGTGTAAGTAGCAGTGGATCAGGGGAAGCAAATTCATCTACCCTTATTTTCTGAAACAAAACAATCAAATAATAAACCACACCAAATCAGCACCTTGTTCTGCCTTTATTAACACCAACATTGTTCTACCTCACAACAGACTTAAAATCTTAGAGCCATCTTTGACTTTCTTTCCCCATATCTGGCCAGTTGCTAAGTCCTGTTGATTCTTCCTTGATTCTCCCTCTTGTATCCATTGCTTCCTTTTTCTTCCTGCTGTCAACATCCTAACTCATTACTGTTTCTCAGGCCATTATGATAACTTAATTGATGGTCTCCCTGCCACTAATCTCTTCTTCAACCAATTATAATTACTGCTCCTAATAAGATTCAAGAGGCAGTGTGGTGTAGTGGTGGAGTCTGTCATGCCTGAGTTCACATCTCCAGGTCTCCAACATACAATTTGACTTTGCAAGTTACTTAGTATTTCTGTGCTTCACTTTTCTCATCTTTAGAATGAGAGTGATGATAGTAACCTTTTCCTAGAATTGTTTTGAGAATCAAATCAGTTAATACATAGTACATATATAGAAAAATGTCTGGCATAAAGTACTCAATAAATGTTAATCGCTATGATTATTGTTACTATTTTTATTAAAGTATACTTTTGGCCATATTATTTCAGTTGGAGCTGGTATTTAAAAAAAGAAAAAAAAAGATTCAATGCGTGTCTTTGAGTCTGTAGGCCAAAGATTTAAATACAGAAATACAAAGCCCAGAAAGGATAAAAATATGAATAAAGATTCATGGTATTAGAATTGAAGCAAGACTAAAAGCCCCTGTATGCCTAAGGTTTACATTCCATGTCGATCTGGGACTGAGGACACTCTTGTGAACTGGGCCCCTACAAACCTTGCAAAGCATGGCCAGGAGGGCAGCTACACAGTGACTAGCAGCCAGTCAAAGTAGCTCTATGGCTTTTTTAGCCATCAGGGAGAGTAAAAATCTACCCCCAAAGCACACAAAATAATAGAAAACATGCTTCTGTGCTAATGATGGCCAGCTGCCAATACAAGGAAAGGAAAAATAATGTGGGGAGGGATTTGGAGACAGTGGTAGAGGCAGAAGTGAAAGCAGAAAATTATGTACAGAAACTTAAGAGAGATTCCCACACAAACATACCCACAGAGACCTGCACATTCCTGGAGAAATACTTTGATGTGCTTAGCTTCCAATTTCGTGGACTTTACCTGGACTCTTTAGATACTTTGGTCCAAATTCTGCCCCTAGGTATATACATCTTATATGCCTAACCTGTAAATCTTATTCTCACACCATTCCTCTCTCTCCCTGTTCCTTTTGGCCTCGGTTCCATGTGTGCTTATTTAGATACACACACACACACACAGACACACACACACACTTCCATTTGTATTCTCTCTACTGTGAAACCTTCACTAAACATGGTAGTCATTAGAATTTAAAGTTTTTTTTTCTCCTAGCAAACATTCCAGAACTTAATTTGTGTCTAAAATCATGTGCTGGTTTTATCACCAGCTATAGTTTTCAAGTGTCTGTGTTATGAGTTTCAGGGTATATTTTAAGCTTTTTGTGAATAGTGATGTGTCTTATACTTGGCATGTGAGTACTGAAGAAACAAGAGGACAATTTGTATAATAATACCCTGACCATGTAAAAAAGCTAGTCATAAGTGATGAGATCTTCATAAATATAGTAACAAGTGGATATTTCATGTATACTTTTATATATCTGCCTGTAAAAACCATGAAAGCATATAGAAGAAGTAGTAGAAGGCCAAGGTTCACATCTGGAGATGCAGATGTCCATTATTAATAGGCAAGTTAATTTCAAAGAAGAAAATAATGGATTATACCTTTCTTCTATATTAGAGCAGATATGGTCTACCCAACATTTCATTTGCTTTTTGAAGGGTGCTTTGTGGTTTAAAGACTTTTGTTTATATTGTAAATTTATTTTCATGGTATCTGCAGATAACTCAGTGTCTCATCTGTATTTGGCATTTGTATTTAAGAAAGTAAGCTATACATGCAAAACCAAATATAATTAGGATTGTTTATAATTTCTTTTCATTGTGAGTATGTGTATGTTCGTGTGTGTGTGTGTGTGTGTGTACCCTATCCCCATCTCTCTCCCAGAATTCATTTGGTAAATGAAAACTACTTAAATAATTTGGAACTACAGGAAATTAAAAACTAAAAGTAATTATTATCATATGAGCTATACCAAAGGGAATATAGAATGTGCACCAACACTATGAAACAAGTAATTGAAACCAAAGTTGAACTGTTTTGAAAAAAATATATAGATTTCTTGAATAATGTACTTGAAAGTAAGTTCATGTGATTTCACTTTAACCTAATTATTTAACATCAACATCTGTCAAGTAGGTGAAATTCTTTAGAGTATATATAAATATTTCATATATTTTATGAATAGAAATCATAGGTTTAAAAATTATTAAATGCTCAATCAGAGCTAGTCCTCTCATTTCAAACAGCATAGTAATAGGTAATTTCTTAGGAAATGTTCCGCTTACATTTTCTGTCATCATGTACATCTTTTATCTGTGGCCTAACTATTCACTCAACTCAATTTCATATTTATAAATTTTTCTAGTTCACCTCAGGGACAGATTTGACAGTTTGAATGCTATTGATGGCTAATGGTTATGCAATTAACATATAGCAACTGTTCAGTCTCAATAATATTTTATTAATGCCATAAGGATAGTTTAATTTATTTTAAAAAAACTGAACAGCCAACTGTTTTTTAAACTTTGATAAAATAGTATTTTGGAAAGTAAAAAAAACAAACAAAAATAATATTTTTTATTTATTTTTTTTGGCAGCTGGCTGGTACTAGAACTGAACCTTTAGACCTTGGAGTTACAAGGCTGTGCTTTAACAAACTGAGCTAACCAGCCAGCCAAAAATAATATTTTTTAAAACTTAGAGAGAATTTACTTTATGCAGGAATTTTACAGTATTGTCTATGAAATTATTCTCGCTAAAGAGATAAAATAACAGGCTTTAAACGTATGTTTTCATGGAGCATTCCTTATCTTGCAGATGAGCTCAGTGAAAATGTTACAGCCTCGTCTCAATAGCATTCTTTTCAAGCTCACGTTTGAAGAACACGTAAACAACATCAAACCAAGCATCATAGCAGTAACTCTTGCCTGTGAAGAACTGAAGAAAAGTGAAAGCTTTAGCAAACTTTTAGAGTTAGTTCTTTTGGTTGGAAACTACATGAACTCAGGCTCAAGAAATGCCCAGTCTTTGGGTTTTAAGATCAACTTCCTTTCTAAGGTAAGATGACATTTTATATTGCTACTTTATAACAATCATCTTCTTGTCTATGAGAGAGGGGTTCCTCTAAATGGCACAAAATTGTATGCTTTAAAAGGGTGAATTTTGGGCCAACCCCGTGGCTTACTTGGGAGAGTGCAGCGCTGGGAGCGCAGTGGTGCACCCACCGCGGGTTCGGATACTATATAGGGATGGCCGGTGTGCTCCGTGACTGAGCGCGGTGCAGCCGACACCAAGCCAAGGGTTCCGATCCCCTTACTGCTCACAAAAAAAAAAAAAAAAAAAAAAAAAGGGGGAATTTTATAGTGTGTGAATTATTTGCAAAACAAATAATTTTTAGAAAATCTTATTGCAGTAAAATCCAAAAGAATATGCAGGTTCTTTTGTAGTATAGATAGTACTTAACTCTTGCTGATTAAATCTTACTGAAGTTAATAGACCAAAACATTTTTTGTTTTATAAAATAGATGCAGTATTGTATTTCAGTCCCTTTATACTTATGTCTCTCTCCTTCCCCAAAAAGTATTTGAGGAACTAAATTCAGTCAGGTAAGAAGGCAGAAATTTCTTTTGGAATATACTTTGCTTATGGTCGAATAGTGTTGTGTCATTAAGCTTACGCTGGTTATCTAGTGCATTGTCTAAAAGGTAAAAAAAAAAATCTGGTGATAATCATCTTATTGTTTTGGTTGGGCCATTTCATAGTGTTATTTTGAGACTGAGTTATTGTGAAAAGTAAACAAAGAAACAAAAAAAAGCCTGAAAATGATTGTATATGTCCATGTCCATTTCTAGGCTAGAGCAAAGCACCTTATTCATGGAAGAGATCTGTTATAGAGAAAAAACTGAACAGACTCTGAGGTGAAGGCCTGCCTGTAAGAAAGCTAGAGACGAAAATAAATCTGAAAACAAGCAATCTATCTTTGACATCTCACCATTCTTTCACATTTTTTTCTGTCACATCTGAAAACATTGCAGAACTTTGGTTAGTTCTTGAAGTATATTAGAACAAAAATCCCAAGTTTAGGAATAGATATAAATTTATTTTCTATTCATGCATTAAGTAGATGTGCATTGTGTATACATAGACTAGCATTTTAACATGTATCAAAAATGATTAGATCCTGGTAGTTCTAACCCAGCTAGAAATAAAAGAAAAACATTTATAGATAATAGGATATATAATGGTATTTTATCTGTTTACTCCTGATATATTTTTGAGGGGTGTAAAGAAAGAGAGCATGGAAAATAGGGAAGATCATCTGGACAGGCTAGATTGTCAAGAAAACATTTTTATTCCTTCATGTGGTATTTGATAATGCCAGAGAGAATAAGACAGTGCTTATAATAATTTGGAATAGCCAGATATATAGGATAAAACTAATTATTTAGAATTTTTTCATTGTATTGCATAAAATATAACCAATACTAATAAAGTCATCTCTTACCAAGATGCTGCTTGGTTGGAGTATATGTTATATGCACGGTGAAGGAATCTAAAAGCATTCTTGGTTGATGATTATAAAAATATTATAAAATAAAATACAAAATCACTAGAAATTTGTATTAGATATCTATCTTACATTCAATTCATATAAAATATATTTTAAACATATTATCTTAATTTAAATAAATGTGTACCTTTATTTTTAAGTGTCTTAATTTCACACTATTCAAATTAATTACAGGAACTGACTTTTTTGAAGCAAGAATGAATAAGTCATTTATACACAGGAACAAAAGATTACATTAATCTCACAGAAGGCTTTTACAGTTACCTCTTATATTTTGGAGAGAGGCTTCTTCTTGTCATCTACCTGTCAAATAAGAGTTCTTCCACACAACACTGATCTGACATCTATCACTAGGGGTATGCTCAAAAGATTCAGCACAAAGATTTTTGCCAACTTCAAATAAAATAAAAAATAATCTTCTGGGAAATACTATCATGTACTAATAGGTGTTCTAAAAGAGAAAGAAGTGAAGGTTCTAAAATATCCCTTCCTCATACTTTTCAGTAGGATTCTTATCTTCTGGGAAATACTTCTAGGGAAATACTTGGCATTAAGAAAGAGAAATATCATATACATGCATGATATTCCCATAATGTCTAGGATTAAAAGGATGTTCCTGGAATGTAAATGTAATGTAGATGTAAATGTCTAAAATGACAGAAATTTATTGAAGTTCATAGAAATAGTTCACTTAGGTCTGTAAACTGTCTGAAACAGAATTAGCTAACTACTGATGTATGATTAGCTAGAATTGCTGTTAAATTTCAGTTGTATCATAAAAGATTACTTGGTTGAATTTTCTCAGTGCTTTTTCTCTTAAAAAATAGCATGGGGAATTTCCCTTGTAGAGCACTTATTATGCTTTTAACATGATACCATTTACTTACCTAAATTTTTCTAATGATAATTTCCTTTCTCAGTGAGTTTGAAACAGTACTTCACTGCTTTTCATAAGAAGCTGTAGAGTATGTTAAAATATTCACTAAACAGGAGCCATGGTATAAGCAGTTAAACTTATCAGTCATGTCTTATAGTAAGCTAATATAAAAAATTCAGATGGTCACAATTGGCTGCTATGATATTTGGGAAGAAAAGGAAAACAGATGGGTTAACCAAAATGTCAAATAACACTAAAGGGTATCATTACTGTAAGTACTACCCTCACCAGAAAATGTTTGTTAATTTGCAGCAGTGAATTATCACTTTGTGAGTCACCAAACCAGTGTGCTGAACTGTAATAAAAATCATTTCAATGAAGATGAGTTCCCAATGTTAGCTTGGCCTGTGCTTGCTGTTGGTTATTAAAATTCTAACCAATAACAAAGCTGCCCTTCAGGGCCATTTGTTACTTTTGTTTTCAGTATGTAATAGCAAGTATAATCTGCATAAGAACAAAAACATTAAAAAATACCGAGCACTCCCTATGCACTAAGATTTGTGGATGTATCAGACAAGGATCTTTGCAAGCAACAGAAAGTGACTCTGCCTGATTCCATCAAAAAAAAAATGGAATTTATTGGAAGGCTTATGAAGTAGCTTAGCCAGAAATTGAGGAAATGCTAAAGAACTTGGCCTTTAAAAGAGCAGCAACTGTGGCAGCTTGGAGAATTCAGATACCAAGAATGAAGGGAAAGTCTTTTCAGGATGTTGCCTTTGGGATATATCAGCTCCAACCATTTTCCTCCTCCTCTCTGTTTGATTTAAATTCTAATTAGAGAGAGAGACTGATTAGCCTAATGCGGATTACAAGAACACACCTTGCACAAAGGAGGGCAAAGAACTTTGATAGCGCTACTAGGACTACCTGCAATGGAAGATTGGTCAGGCCCTGAAGGATGCTGTTACCAAAGGTTGGGGGCATGTGAAGGGATATCAGGCAGATACAAACAAAGACAAAACAAAACAGATGGTCTGTACACCAAGGACAAACAATACAGAAGACATACAGAAACCTCAAGACATTTGTGGCACAGTCGAGTAGACAGGAGATATCCATACAGAACAGTATGTAATGTCACAAGGTATACCATTAATGAATGCAAAAATTAATGGCCATTGAAATTAGCAGGAGTTCAGAGCAGGGAGGAATCTTTGGTGATTGGGCAGCAAAACAGAAGGATCATGAAGGATAGGTAGGATTAGGGTATATGAAGAGGAGAAGCCATGACCTTACAAGAGGAGAACACTGTGTGGGCCGGCCTGGTGGCGCACTGCTACAGTGCGCCACTTGGGAGTGTGGCGGCGCTCCCACCGAGGGTTCGGATCTCACATACAGACCGGTTCCCGCGAGGGGCAGACGCAGCACCGAGGGTTGCGATCCCGTTGCCGGTCCCGGTCTGGTACAGGCGTGACACTGAGGGTTGCGGTCCGTTGCCGGACACGAAAAAAGACAAAAAGGAAAAAAGAAAAAAAAAAAAGAGGAGAACACTGTGTGGGCCGGCCTGGTGGCGCACTGCTACAGTGCGCCACTTGGGAGTGTGGCGGCGCTCCCACCGAGGGTTCGGATCTCACATACAGACCGGTTCCCGCGAGGGGCAGACGCAGCACCGAGGGTTGCGATCCCGTTGCCGGTCCCGGTCTGGTACAGGCGTGACACTGAGGGTTGCGGTCCGTTGCCGGACACGAAAAAAGACAAAAAGGAAAAAAGAAAAAAAAAAAGAGGAGAACACTGTGAGCTTGGAATCTACATTTTAGCTTCCACTTTGCCAATTACTAGCCAAATTTTTGTGGTGAAATCACTTATCCTCTCTGAACCTCAGTTTCCTTATCTGTAAATGAGGAAATACACTGACCCTTATTTATTTTCATAGGGTGATCTATGTTAGAGTATTTTGAAAAATTACAAAGTTAAATAAATGGTAATAGTTCTTTTTAATGATGATACACAACTAGGAATAATCATGATGTATTTGGAGATGAATTAGAAAACTACACTGACCGGAATATTGGGTTCATGTTGGAAACAAGTGAGTTATTTGTATACCATTTTGAATATTTTGCCTCCATAACTATTTTTTTGAAAATCACTCACAGCCCATTTAATAACTTACAAGAGCCAAAAACCTTTTTTTGGTGTACTTGCAAAAGACATTTTTTTCCTGCCTTGAGTGAATATCTCTTTCACCTGTACCCTGACTTTCTAGTTATTCTAGTTGGACAGAGAGACACAACAAATTATGATGTAGTAGGATGACATGCTTATGTAGAGATGTGAAATATCTTGTAAAAAGACCCTTAGGAAAACGTGTAGGTTGACTGTGAAGAAAATTTTAGATATCTCACTTTAAGTCATTAGGATTAACATGATAATGCAATTGTTCTACTTTTTCTAACATTCATCATTTATGTAGAGTATCTATAACATATAAAGGCCTTATATCCTATAGGCTATCACAGGGCATTAGGGACAGAGTATTATAGGCATCACCCCAAATATACAAAGGAAAATATCCTTCTCCCTATAGAAGTTGTAAGAAGGGAATTAAAA